AATCAGTTTTTTGGGGGGGTTGTTGCTGCAGCAGCATTAAAAGCCAAACTCACTCGCCAGCCCGGGCAAACTCGTCAGCACCTGACCAGGAGGCGAGACAGATCCTCGCCATCCTACCGCAGCCTCACCAGCTCACACGTCTCAGCAGATTAACAAGCCGATAGATAAAAGCGGCCTTCCAGGGCACCCGCTGCTGGAAACCTTTGCTCTTTGGGTTGCAGTTGTTCAGACCGAAGTCTCTCCCTACCCACAGGCAGACCTTGTGGAAGGCCGTGTGACCTCCTGCGCTGCCTTCCACCACCGCCCTGCCATCTGCTGAAAAAACTGGCACCCACTCAGGCCATGGCTGTTTTCATGGCGTTTTGTCTTTTCTCCCCTCAAAACTCCTTCCGCAAACTGGGGGCTGCTCGTGATGCCTCCCGGCCCCTTTTGTGAGGCCGCAAAGGCACAACTGACCCTGTTCATTTTAAAATACTTTAAAGCAGCCAAACAGTTTTTTCTTCTGTTGGGAAAAAAAAGAAAACCTGACACTACTGTTTGAAAGAGGGCTGTTAAGGGAAGGGACAGGCCAATCCTTAGCATGCAGAACGCAGCAGAAGACACACAGGAGAGAGAGAGGAGTTACAAGGCTGATAGTTTGCACAAGACTGACCGACTCTGCAGCTGCCCTTCTGAAGGGGACCTTGCCCTCTTCAATGTGCCTTTCCTACCCCGTCCTCCGCAGTGCCACTGGTACTCATCAAATCCTGACGACCTGGTTTGGTGAGCTAAAACCACTGAGAACTAATTTGTTTTTTCTTCTGCTGCTGCTAAAGGCTGAGTTTTCTACCCGTTTAACTCCTCAACTCCATCTCACGTAAACTGCTAGGTGACAGCCAGTGCCAGTTCAAGGGAGGCAAGAGCAGCGTGCAGCCAGGGAAACATGGACACTCTTTTTTTGGCAGCTAACAGTTAGCCCAAATTAGCTGCGATGTCAAACCACACCCTCAGGTCTCTGATGGCTAGGGAGACTAAAGACATGGTAGAGAGGGCAAAGGAGAGACAGGAAAAGCGTGAAATCAAAACAGACCGAGGATAAAGAGAATACGCATACTAGATGCAAAGCAGGGGCTGGACTGTGAGTGTTGATCGTGGGAACAGATGGAGAGATAGAGAGAGAAGTGACACCCATTACACTCAAAATCGTATGTGTGAGAGAGGGGGAGAGAGGAGGGGAGAGGCACGGCGCGGTGGGAGAGATGGAATTCGCAAGACAGGGAAAAGATTTGCAGAAAATAATGGTTTAAGAAAAACCGGAATCAGAACTTACTGTTCACTGGAAAAATCACAGTCTGGCTGTACCAGTGTGGTTAGAAAAGAGCCGTCCTTTGAAAAACAGCTTAATACTTTCTCTTTTAATGTTTTACATTTGCAAGGATCACCTGCCCTTTGTACGTTGCATAGTCGCACAAAGAGAGGTAAGAGGTACAGCGTAACATCAGCTTTGGCCAGCCCAATAAACGTTTATTGTATCAGCTAGAGGCATAACATTGCACAGAATAAACCAGAGCCAAATCAAATAAAATATTCTTCCCGTTCTGTGGAGGATCAAGATGCAAACAAAAAGACTTTGATACTTCCATGGCCCTCCTTTGGCACAGGAACCAGCAAGGAATATTCACTAGATCTGACTATAAATGTGGGAGGTCTTAGTATAGTAGTATGTATTAGAAACTTGATATTTTTCCAATCAAGCCTTTCCACTCTTATTTACATATATTGAATTGTAAATATCCATTTTCCTACCTGAAGCACTTTAAATAAATGTACAATAAACACATTCTACACAGAAGGGGAGCAAATAGCTTCGGGGACTTGTGTGCCAGCCTCCCTGCCGCTGGTCAGGAGCAACGCAAGGACGATCCCTCCTCACAGCTTGTGGGGGGTCTTGTAGACCGAGTTGGTGATCTCACCCTCGTTTCTCCTGAACCAGGATCCTCCCCCCCAGCCAATAAGTCATAATTGATGCAAACTGCCATCTGTGCCAGTGCAAAAGGCGACGGCTGGCAAAGAGATGCTTTCTCATACACAGAAGTGGATTTCTTCAGAGCACAAGCAACTCCCGTTTGCAGTCGTGTCAATGTACACTTACCTTTCCAAGCACCAAAACGCGCAGCCAACAGAATCAGTATACCCCGTAACCGCAACTTTAATTAAAAGAGAACCGCCTAATGCACAGAAACTCTCAAGTGAGATGTCGCCATTTGACCGCAACTGAACAGCGCTGTTTGCCATGGTCGGCAGCGGCCGCGCTGCCTGCGGGGTGAACAGGCTCCAGCCCCTCGCAGCGGTGAGGGGGCCGGCAGCCGCCGCGGCTCTCCCCCAGAGCTCCCCGGGTACAGGGCAGCTTTCGGCAGGCACAAACCCACGCCACTTACACACCGCGGCCACGGGCGTACCAAAGGAGTGCTTTTGCCCACTGCTGTCACCTAATACCTAGCTGACGTAGGGGGCATCGTGAGTTCCTCAGATGCATGCAAGAGCCTCAGTTCGTG